CACCTTCTTTAGCCTCATAAAAATCTTTAATATATACGAACACAAATTTATATATATATATATCTTCAATCCTATTCATTAAACTTTTTCTTGTACAATAGGCTAACTTAAATACATCAAGGTCATTCACAAGGCAAGAGTTTCGTATGAAATATCTTAGTAAAGCAGTCTCAGATACTGAGTGACCAGAATTACATGCGTGAATATGTTTTAAATCAGTTGAGGATATCGTCACTAAATTTATGTATAATCGCGGAATATTTTACATAGAGTCCATACTTCCGTTGAAAAAAACTATTCAAATTTCTTCAGAAAACAAAAATGATTATCTTCTGGGGTTCTTGACACTTCTCAAATTTCTTCCTTAGGAAATATGTTCATTCATTTCTTAAATCCTCTATCAATATATAGGATAATTAACATTTATTCATCTTCGTTCGAAGTCAGTTTTGCTTCTTCATATTAAGAAATACTGCAAGTAGGTACTCGTGAATAAACATTGGTTTATGATTTTATACCGATAAATTAAAGGAAGACATTTTTGGTGAATTGGGATAGATTATGCTCATATTTGGTAGAGTTTTAGATAGATTATGACCCATTATGAATGTATTATTTTCAGTTGTAATATTTATTTTTGTGTTAAAGAACATTAAATTTCTCTCTCAAACTGTTGTTAAGCCTTTCCGATCTAGCAAATGGGCTAGATCAGATCCATGAGCCCAAAAAACTCTAGAAGTTAAGTACTCAGCGGAAAGCCCCAAATAAACAAACAAAAATGTTCAGAGTAACAATTTTCCTAGAATTGAAAGATCTTATTCTTGTGATCAAATCTGAGGCACCTTAAGTGATCGCTTATGATACTGTAGTTTGCTGGGCCCGGTCATTCTCAAAAATGACCTATAAATTCAGAAACTAAAATCAAACTAATTAATATTTACAATAGCCACAATAAACAATGCAGAAATTACTGTTGGATCTGATTTCAATAATTTTTTATATCGCGACATATTTTGTAGAAAATCATGAAATATTACGTTAGCAATGAAACTTTAAAGTTTATAAAATGGTAAATATTAATGTGATCACCACCAGGAACACGATCAATATCCAGTAAATAATAGAACTTCTTCCACGCTTTTCTCTGCAAGTTTGGTTTTTACAATTTTAATGGCTACAGTTCTTTGAGTTTGCAGTTCGTTAATATTCACCGTTAAGGGTTGAAAATTCTCTTTGTCTTTTAAGTAGACCCAATTGGTTGACTTAGTGATTTTTACTAATGTCGCACTAGAAGCTACACGAAAGGCTGTTGGTGTCAGACCTCGTAATTTTGAACCACGGTCAAGTGATGAGGACGACACCTGAGCTGGCACCTTTCTCTCCTAACTTCCACACCACGCCAACAGGAGGAATTCGAACCAGATTAGCGTGCATCAGCCCTCAAGTAGTCTCAAAGAAAAAAATTCTTAGGGAGTTAATCAGGGCTTCCTGAGGCCTCTGATTAATATCTTCCTCTGCTCAGTGACGAATCCAACGTATCATACGGACATATATGTATTGTTTGTGTTTTCTATGGCGGTCACAATAAACATTTACAATTTTATATACTTTAAATAATTATTTTTAATTTCATTTGTCCAAAAAGATTGCGATTTTCTTAGTTTTGTTATTGAAGCCTTTCAATGTGAATGGTAATAAACGTTTCTACTAAGAAGCAACATGAGAGTTAATGCGACGGACCTGGTAATTTTGTACCTCAACCAAGTGCTGGGGACGACACCTGAACTGCCACCTTACTCTCCAGGCTTCTAGTCTAGTCAAGTCTAGTGACTTCGACAAGATTTAATGTGCATCAACTCTGCCACACGGCGTCATGTCTTGAACCCATAACTCGACGAAAAAAGTGCCGGTAGCGAATTCGAGATCATAATCACTAGGCTACAGAAGCCACTGAAGCTCTTCAAAGTTGGTATATATTATTTTACAACCATCCTGTATTTTGAGATTAAAATTTAACATTGAAGTAAAATCAGCCAAGAACTAATTTTTAAAATTTCTAATTTGAAATATAAAAAGAATTTCATATTTGGCTCTTACAAAACTGCATCGTACTTATATGATTGCAAAATATTGCGTTCGGGATGCTAGATCTGGCGCACAGACGAAATTTTACAAAATTTTAAACCCTCTTTCTGCCATGTCTTCTGAACCAGCTTTATATAATCACTAATAAACACAGGTAATAAAATAATAGAAGAGTGTTACTTCTGAAATCTTCTATCGTAACACGTAATTAATTAAACATTTTAGTTTAAATGGACAAAATTTGCTTATTTAATAGAAATATATTTATAAGTCACAGATTTTTTTAGAATATTTTTTTTTATCACCTTTATGCATTTTGTGATGAAAATTAAGAAAAAAAAAATATAGAACAAAATCAATTTTTTTTGGTTCTAAAGTGTAAATAGGCGTGAACTTTTGAAATTTTTTTAAAAATGAAATCCAATTTCCAAAAAAAAAAAGGGGGGGGCCATGGAGGTATTATCATTTCCATCAATGAATTATTTTCTCCTTCTTCTTGAAGGAAGTTGGTGATAAAATATTTTATGCAAGATACATTTGTAACGCTCGTTCTTCATATTTGATTCGTTTAGTTAAATAGTTATTAAATACGTCATTGTTTCTTTTAGATAAACTGTTATTAAAAACAGAATTCCAATTGAATATATGTAAGGACAAGAAAAAATACTTTATTTGTCAGTGAAGGATAGATGAGGTCGCTCCCTCTTGAATCCCACATAATGCGTCAATTTTAAATTATGATCAACTAATAAATGCCTAACTTACCTATTCATTCGTTCTTATTAAACAACTTGACACAAATAGCCGATTCTTAATTTAGAACTTCAACTAGAATTTGCTTCGATCCATAAATGAATTAAGATGCTTTAATCGAAAGTATAAATATCTATCAACAAGTCTTTATTCTCAATCTCATTTTATTTTTCTTCAATTCTATTTCATTAATGCATCATTATCTCTAATTAAATTCCATGCCCTTCTATTTTTGTCTAATTTACCTAATCACATTTCATTTGGGTTTGGAAGAAATTGTTATTTTATGCAATTCAAATTTACATACAGTCCCCACGGTTAGTGAATAGAGAATCATGAATTGCTCAGATTCACACATTTGATGAAATATTTTTTAGGATTTTCCTCACATTTGAATTACCTTTTTTAATGAGTAACTTTCAAACTTTTCTAAGATATCGAAAAAATTACAAGAGCGAATCTTATTTATTTATAGATTTTCTTGGAATACAGTAAACTAAAAATACTTTACTAAAAAAAGCAAGTATAAATTTCTTGTCTGTTTTTCTCTTTCTACTATCATCAATCACTCCAATGAAATTATTAAATTTGAAAATTGATAAAGGAATTCCCTAAAAGAAATTGTAGAAATTGTAGTAAAGTGATTCTTCAATCAAAAGAATCACTTTATCAGGATTCTTGAGCTATTTCCTATTTGAAAGATTTCATGGTACTTGAAAATCATTCGCAAATTGATATGTGGTGTTTATTTCGAAGCACATATTCTTCTCAAGCATTTTTAAAGTTCCACAACTTTTGAGATTTCGATCATCTTTCATTCTGAATTTCACTTGAGATAAAAGATAAGCTATTGTTCAGAATCATATAACTTTTAAACACATAAGTGGAATATTCTAATTGTTGAAGTTTCTCGTTGACAGAATTAAACCTTGATTTGCTCAATTTTCGGTGTCAGAATAATTAATGTGTGTTCTGAAGTTTTGAATTATCCGTGCTTCTTCGTATTTGATCATTTAAGTGCCTCTCACCGGCATTAGCTTTAATAGATCGAAAGTTTATTTTAATTCAAATTTAATGATGCAAGCATCTTTCTAATGAAGAATAATATGTGTGCGGGTGAAAGTGATTTATGAAAGATAAATAACAATGCTTAAGAAGATAAAAATATTATGAAAAGCGAGACAAAACTTATTCAGTTATAAAATTTCAACACTAATTCATCTTAAGCCAATCGAAAATTTAGTATGTTCTTTTCTGCAACAGGTGAAGATTTCCTTTTATTTTATCAAATGTTCTATGAATAGAAAATTAATTCATTTTAATTTGAAATACCCTTTAAAGAAATCTATAATTTTTAGGAGCAGAAATAGAATTAACATTCAGTAAAATAAAGTATCTATAATAAATATATTACAAGAAATCTTCCAAATTATACGGGGGTGGGCCCCTCAAAACGCACTTATATTTGAAGACAGATGACCTCCTTAAGGTAAATTGCTGTTACCTTCGGGTGATACCATATGTTAAATGAAGCCGAAACAAATTTGACATTGATTCATAAGTTAGTTTGGGTTTGATTGTTATTTTCTGCTAAATTAAAATTTGATTGCTGCCGCGTCGAGTTGTCGTCTACGGTGAGATCTGGACTCATAATTATGCACTGGAAATCAAGCCAACACCAAAACGTTGGGTTGCTTAAGGTGAACCTTTTCCAAGAAGGATGAAGGGGTCTGTTCGGTCAGAAACGTTATGACGAAGAATTTTTGAGGAACAAAAGACGTCATGATCGTGAAGACGAGTAGCTAAGACTTAAACAGCTGTCTAGTGAATCATGATACTTATTACAAACAATCCTTTTTCGATGCTTCAAGCACAATCTTATGGAATTTCTAAGGACCTTTTGAATGACCCTCGAACATAGCAAAATTAGAATTTTTTGAACGTATCGATGTAAAACTAATGTTTGGAAGAGTAGTATTACTTTATAATCACGAAATTAATTCATTATTTCGAGACCAGAAAGATTTTAAGCATTTCTTTCTTTGATATAATGTAATGGGAATTTTTTTTTTCACATCCTATCTTCCTTAAAATCACAGCACAATATAAATCGTACTCAGTAGATAAGAGAACGATTATGAGACTGACACGCTGCCTACTGCGCTACCGTGGCTTAATTGGTTGAAGCGTCTGTCTAGTAAGCAGGAGATCACGATTTCGAATCTCGTTGGTTCCTTAAACAGACTGATTACGGAGAACGTCGAGTTTTTTAGACCTACCAACAATTAAAGATTTCATCAGTACCATCAATGAAGCATTTCAACTAAAAATTAACAAAAATACAAATCCCTCAATTTTAGAAATCCCTAGCTATAATGACATTAAATACAGATACAACAAACCGCATGGAAGAATTTCCGTACCAGTACCCCCTCCATAATCAAACACTTTTTATAAAATTACCCTCCTTAACTTCCAGCCAATCAGAATACAGACACTGGGTCCCTCACTAACACCCATTCACTGACACACCCACTTCACCCCACCCAGAACCAAGCTAAAGTTGCTGTTTCCTGATTGGACCAACGCACTTCATTTTGTACTCTCCTACCCCTATCATGTAACTTCTAAATTTCTCTGCACTTAATAGTTTAAATCTCATGTAAATTTAAATTTAATTTTTCTTATTTATTTTTGTTCTTAACTCATCACGTAAAGTAATTAATTTTAAAAAGTAACTTCAATAAATCTTAATTGCATTGGACACTTGAAGTAATCAAGCTAAAAAATATCAAACCGAAGATTAAAGCCCAACAGAGCTAGGTACTCCAATAACGTAACCACTACGTACTCAGCAGTTATGGTATGATCAAATATAGTAATCATTGTTAGCAAATATGGTGTGGAGTGTGGTTAGAAATGAGGATTAAAGTATTTTATGTATTTAGATACATACATGCATGCATATACCAATTTTTCGTTTGATTAAATTTTTTTTTATAGTCTGGACATTATGTTAATAGGATAGCTTTATTACATGTATATTTAAGAAGTATATAAGAATGTCTGTGCAATATATTTACTCAAAGGATTACAATGCCATTAAGAAGTAAATTTTATTGATTGTTCATCTGATTCCGACGATTTCATAATGATATAAAAGGGGTTATAAAAATTGGATTAGCGGAAAAAAAACAGGTGAAGAATTAAGATAAGATTTAGATTTCTTTTTAATTTACTTGGGCAATTAATATAAATAGGATAAATTTGCTGTAATAAACTTCAGAAATATATTTTTTTTGGTTGAAGATGGGAGTTAAATCAAGTATAATAATTGTGATTACGATTGCATTTTGCTGCTTTCTATCCAATGCGGCAGGTGAGAGTTTTTAGACTTTCTATAGTATGGATATTTATGGTATACTATTTTTTGAAAAGAATTATTGATTATAAATATTTTATTAAATATTTTTAAGTGTTAGTGTTAGAACTGAATTGTTCAAGATTCTTTGGCCTTTAGTAGCTAATAATATAAGAAATTTTTAGATGTTTTAAGAAAATAAAAGGGAATTGGGATATTTTTTATGAGAATAATTTGATAAATTATTGAAAGTAAACCTCTTTTTTTCTCTCTTAGTACATTGCTTTTAATTGGAAATATAAAAATACTTCGAATTGTATAATTTATCATGATGCAGGGGATATACTATTTTAAAATTATTTTCTTATGTTTGTCCGTTATACCAATAATTATTACTCTGATATCTAAACATATAGTAACTCTGTGTAATTTAGAGTTTGAAATATTATTCAAGATATAAATTATTAAGGAATTTTTGAACGACAAATATAGAATAAGAAAATAAAAATAATGCTGTGGCAAGTTTAAATATATATTTGAACATTAAGGCTCCCGTCTACCCGCCATTTTGATTTCATCAGCTTAATGTTAATCCTATGGAATTCCGACTTGAATTCTCACATCCTTACTATTTGATCTTATTGAATATAATAAAATGCATCTGAAAGAGCAAAAAATAATGAAGGCTTCTATGGAATTACTTTTTTTCTAAGATTTTTAAAAATATTTGAAAATATTCTTTAAAGGACGGAAAACTCAAAAACGAATAGTTAAAATAAGAATAAAAATATTTTTAAAAATCTTAGGAAAAAAGTAATTCCACGGAAGCCTTCCTTATTTTTTTCTCTTTCAAATGCATTTTATTGCATTCAAATAGGTCAAATAATAAATGTCGGAGAATTAAAGTCGAAATCCCATAGGATTAACATTACGTCCACGAAATCAAAATGGCGGGTTGACGGGAGTCTTAAACCATTAAGTTAAAAAAATAATTCCTATGTTCTTCAAAGTTCAAATAAATAATTTATTTGGTGTAAATATATTTTTATAATTTTCTTGTAAATCTTGTGTATGAAACTTCCAATAATTTATGCTGTGAAAAAAGTACTTTAAAAAACTTTCGATTAGAGTTTGAGTAAAATTATGTATTTAATAAGGAGAAGTCCATTTGAATGATCTAGAGGAGTTTAAAAACCCAGAGAGAGTTTAAAAAGAAAAATTGATTATTTATTTATAACTGCTATTCACTAAATAAGATATTAGTCACCCAAGGGGCTATTGTTTTATTTGGATCACTTTTGGTGTACCAGATCACATTCTCAATTTTTTTTATCAATTCCTTCAATTTTATAATTACATTTAGCTTAAATGTATTCAATTTAATAATTTATCGTTTCTTTTAATTTTAATATCGGAAAAGTTTACTATTTTCCATTTCTCAATATTTCATTGTTTACTTTAATTCTTATATTTAATTGAGTAATTTAATAATATATATATATAAAATTGCACCTTGGGTGGCTAAATCTGTTCTTTGTAAAGCTTTGTATAGGACTTGTTTCCTTTTTTAAAATTCATTTAAGTATACTTAAAAGTGGTTATTTTAAATATGAAATTTTCAGAGCAAACAAAAAAATGAGGTATATTTTGTACTATAAATTTATGTTTAATTTTTGAAAGTAATTTCCAAAAATTTCACATAGATTGAATTTAAACAAAAAGTAATGTTTATGTAATTATTTTGAATTCTTACTTTTATTATACATTATAATAACCTCAATTATTCAAAATATTAATGAAAATTCGATGTATAAATTGTAATTATATTTTCGTTTATAAGTACATAAAATCAAAGTATATATATATATATATATATATATATATATATATATATATATATTATTATTATTATTATTATTATTATTGTTGTTACAGCTAAATGAAATTACAAATAGGAAACTTTAAATTCATTTTATTTTTCAATTACACGAACATTAAATTAAAATGCTTTAAAAAAATTATGAAAAATAAAAAAAAGTTATTTATTTATTTTCTTATGGAACATTAAAAACTGAATATATCAATACTTTTAAATATATTATTTGCTTAAAAACTAATAGTATTCGGTTAAATTAAGCATTAAAACTATTTCATGCTGTTTTTTTGTAGAAAATATTTTTTTTTTAAATCAAGAACATATTTAATCAGTAACAAGTAACATTTGTAAATTTTATTACATCAAATGTATGAAAATCAAATTAGTGTTTTATACTAATTAAATTTTATTTTCATGTAGGTCAAAAATTTCCAAGTAAGAAATTTTATTTTCTTCATGAATTTTCAAACACGTGTATTTTATTTCCTCCTTTTTTTTTAAAATAAAAATAATGTTTAGCGAATAAAACAAAATTTGATTTATGTAGAATTACGAGTAACTTATATTTGTTTCGAGAGAGAATATAATCTTTTATTAAAGACTGTCAACTATTGAAATAGAATCACTTTATAGTTATACTTATTGCATTAGTCTACAATACTCCTTTAATATTGGCATTTCAATTAGATATTACATCATTTGGTTTTATTAGGTAATTATTTCTGTATAAGTATTTTATTTAAAGAAATACATAAAGTTTTAGATTGCTTAGGCATTAATTAAATAATTGGTTACATCTAAGTTTAATTCAATTCAATTACAAGCCTTTTGTTGACTTAAATGTTTAATGTTTCGAAGATTGTTAGAAATTTTTTTAAAATAGGCAAGTCATGAAGGTAAAAATTTTCTTTAAAAGTCTAATTGATCAATGATAAAATTAATTAAACAAATTACTAACTTTTATATTTGAATAATTTATTTACAAATTACATTTAAGAACTTAATTCATGATGAAAAGAAGTAAAATGCAAGGCCTTTTAAATCCTGAGACTTGATTTGGAGCTTAAATCCTGAAATTATCAAGGAATACAAGTGTTAAGAAATACCAAACGAAATATGTTTATCACCTTGATAATTAAAAAAACGAATTATTTTTGGTTAGTTTTTTGAAATTCTATCTTACATACTTTTGGTATTTCATTAAAAAAGTTAAATTTTGGGTAAATTTTTTACGACATTTGCTGCAAAATATTTGTTTTATACTAAAATAATGTCCTTTTACTGTTAATAATTGGTGATAACAGTTTTTAAGTGTAATTTTTGTATTTTGATTTCCCAGTAAATTAACATAAGCTTATTTTACAATTTATAAACTTTGTTTGGCATTCTTAATAATATTAATATTTAGTTTTACATTTCAAATATACATTTGTAATCTATGGTGCTGTAGTGTCGATAAACATTTTGGAAAAAAAAAGACATATGATGAAACACGGATTTATACAGCAGTTAAAATAATCTTACATAACTTAAAACTGTTCATATTTTTTTTGGTCTTTTTGAGATATGCATATTTGCTATGTAATAAACTCTAAATTGTTAAGTTAGTTTTCTTCTTTTTTCCAATGTAATTTTATGAACTGTTTGCATATAAGTGGCTCTAATTTTGATATTTCTTATTTAGTTGTAAGCTAATTGTGCTGATTGAGATGGTTTCAATCCATAAAATATGTTTAGCCACGCATGTCTGTCCAAAGTCATATACCGAATTTTAAGATTACTTTACTTTCAATTTTAACCTCCTTTGTCCCTTTTCATAGATATGGATGATTCTTTACAAGGCTTAGGTAATTTTTTTTGTTTACGTGTACAGTTTCATTTGTAACTTTTAAATAGATTAACAATTATTATTTTTAATAATTTATATTTATGTAGATATTAGACGTAAGCTTATCAAACAGTGATTAAAAATTCTAGCAGAAATGAAAATGAAACAATTGCTAAG